TAAGTTTTAGTATTATTTCCCTTCTCCCTCTCCTCCGCCACCAGTTTACACCTCCATCATTGTCTATCCTCAAAGATAAAGTGCAAATAAAACTACATGTTTTTTATCAATTATTATTCTATTATGGTTATTTATACATTTACAACTACAAATCCCATTTTCAGTGTTTTCCTTACTAAGGTTATTTTTTTCAATGTACTACTTAGCTTTAATTTGAGTGTATTTTTCGTGTTGGAACAGATTATTTGGTTTTATGTGTATTCATACTGGGAAAAATTATTCACCTTACGACATTTTCATGATACAATCTCAGTTTAGGAATGGATTAATTTCGTATCCTGAGGTACTACTGTATTAGGGTTGTCATTACATTCGATGACGTTATAATCAGGTTAAATTGTATATTGTTTGTGAAAAAAAAAAAANGTTTTTAATCTGTTATTGATAATCTTTGTAAATATTTTGTAAATAATTGGGAGTAAGCTTATGGGTCTATAATTTTTAATATTCTCTTTGCTGCCTTTCTTATGGATGAGTATTATATTCTCATTGTTTCAATGATCTGGTATGCATCTTGACTTTAGGCATTCCATGTATATATTGATATATTTGCCAAGATTTTCCATGTCTTTCTGCCAGCATATTTCAACATTTCAGCTGTTATTCTCTCAATCAGTTGTTCATTGTATTTCCTAATATCTTTTGTAACCTGTTTCCTTATTGTATTACATAATTCTTTGTATTCTATTCTCTGTGTATTAGTACTTGCTTTCATTTCCCGTCTGCATTTTAACAGATCTTTAGTTTTGTTGGACAGTTTCTTGTGTTCATTTTTTTGCTGTGGTCATAATGAAAATCATTCTTGACTGTTGTAAGATCTACTATCTTACCACAGTCAAGAATGATTTTCATTAGCTGAGAGCTATTGACTTGGTCATGTAGTCTTTTGTCTAGTGCCCTTTGGTACTGATTTGAGTTTTCCATTAGGTTATGGACGTTGATTCCTAATATTCTTGGTTTTTGACTAACTTAAGTCTTTCTAGTTTTAAATTTAAGACAATTCTTGATCTGACTAGTCGATGGTCATTGTCTGTTTGGAATTTATTAAGAATGCTGACATCTTTAACTATGTGGGTCTTGTTGGTAAGAATGTAGTCAGTTCTATTCTTAGTCATTGCGTTTGGTGCTTCCCATGTCCATTTCCTGTTGGGATTCTTCTTGAAGAATGTATTTGATATATACATGTTCTGGTAACTTGCAAATTGCACCAGTCTTTCTCCTCTTTTGTTTCTTTCACCAAATCCATAGGTCCTCACTACTTGTTCCTGGTTGTTTCTTTTTCCCACTTTGGCATTAAAGTCCCCAATTAGATATTTGAAATGGCTTCTATTATTGTTCAGTGTCTCAGCTACATCATTATAGAATTCCTCTATCTCTTCATCTGGATGTGAAATTATTGGAGCGTATACTTGTACAATCTGTATGTTGTATCTTTTTGTAAGCTGTAAAGTTAAGCTCTGAGGTACTTGTTACATCGACTATTCTGTTTTTCCATTTCTTGTCAATTAGGAATCCTACACCCGTCATTGTCCCTTGGTAGTAAAGGGAATTGCCTGTTGTTAGATCTAGTAGCTCTTCACCTTTCCTCCTAATTTCACTGATTCCAATGACATCCCACTTTATTGATAATCTGAAACCGTGTTATGACTTTTCTTTGATTCTTAAACACTATGTAGTGTAATAAATTCAAACACTTGGCATTCTATCACCTTTATTTAATTCAGTTAAGAATCAATGAAGAGTCATACCATGTTTCCCCGAAAATAAGACAGTGTCTTATATTAATTTTTGCTCTGAAAAATGCGCTAGGTCTTATTTTTCCAGGAAGAAGAATTCACATTTATTATTGAACAAAAAAATTCCCAAGTCGAACTTAGACGAGAGTGACGTATATCCGGTGTGTCAAACTGTCGCCTTTTTATAGCATCAACATCGGACTCGCTGACCAATTAGTGCTTACTGAACCATAGCACTATGCAAATGTCATGTGGTTTATCAACCTTCTTGGCCGCGAAATGTTTGGTGAAGAAAATATGGCCCGCGGGCTATGATAAGTTGGACAGCGCTGCTCTAAATGATGACAAACTGACCTTTCGTATGTTTCCAGCAGTGACAATGTTGTAAAAAGAAAATGCAAACATTTCAACCACATTCAGGGGCCAGCATCAGGATTTTAGAAGACTTCTTTCTTTTTACTAACAGTTTTTGAATTTGAAATTTTTTTTTAAAAAAAAGGTTCTGGAACTAAAATCTTTTAAAATGAACAGTTTGTTTCTCATATCATTACGTCATCAACCATCATCATCAATGTCAAGAACTTTTTATTTTTTTTTAAAACCCCACAGTCATTTCATAAAAAACAAATTATATCTATAATGTTATTGAATATACAAAGAAGACTGACACTGTCCCTGAACATGGCCAAAACATTTGCATTTTCTTTTACAACATTGTCACAGCTGGAAACCTATAAAAGATCAATTTGTCATCACTTATTTAATAGTTTCAGCTTTAAGAATAATTTTATGTTAACTGACCATCATCAGGCATTCTATAAATATGAACATTCAATCATCATTTTGAAACAATGTTCAAATGTTCATGCTTATACCTCAATTCAACTTTTGCTGTCTCTGAGGAAGGCCATTCAAATTGGCTGAAAATGTTAGAAAAGTGAATAAAAAGGCTGCATTTTTAAAGGTTTTGTGTTGAGGTGTGAGTATTAGTTGAGTGCAGTTAGAGAAGAGTGTTCATTTGTTTTCTGAAACCATGTTTTACTTTTTATTGAGTGTTGAACATAAGATGAGAGGCTAAGTGCCCAAAACTTGTATAAGTACCCGTATCAACTATATAAAGATGGGAAAAAAGCCAAATGTTTAATTAATAACACGATCTTGTGTTCAACACTCAAGAGCGTTCATGCTTATAGAATTCCTGATGATAATAAAATCAACTGAAAATGTTAGTGGTTGTGTAAATTTATAAAATATTTTGTTTGAGAGTAAAAGGTTATATCTATTTACTATTACTTTCCAGTTTGAGTTTGTATTAACTTTTCCTTCAAACATGGAATATTTAAAAGCCAGATATTCATTTTGTTCAGGTCATCTTTGAGATGACTTAAAACAAACTCAGATACTATGTTACAAGTCTATAAAAAAGAAATTTCAAATAAAATCTAATTTTCTTGTAACTGAAGCTGACAAGACAATTAATTTGTTTAATAAATAACAGCTTGTTACACTTTATTATTTTTTTGAAGAATAAATTTAATGATTTTGAAATTTTATTAAACCAGAGAATTGCACAGCATAATATATAACAAGGTTTATAATAAATAAAGTTGATCATCTTTCCATTCCTTCAAACAAATTAGTGTTTAAGAACTAATCAATAAACGTATCCCAATGCCTTTTGCATCCACTATTCTGCTCATCAATTCAACCTAATGCATAAAAAGACTGAATCTTGCAAGAAAAAATTAATGTATTTAAAAAAAAACCAGTCTTTTGCTTCAATTTTTATAAACCAAAAAAAACATTAGTTTTGGATGAAACTGCAGAATAAATGCTTCCATTAATAATTATAACTAAAAAATAAAAAAATATAACCATCCACGTTATACAGTAATACCCCGAACTTACGCGATAGGTGGGACCAAGCAATAACCACGTAAGTCGAACTCGCGTAAGTCGGGGTATAATTTCACAATATGTGTAAAACCCAAGTCGGATGTATGTAAGCCAATAAATGTTCTCGTTAATTTTATCTCGTCTTTTGATTCGTTCACAGTTAGAAGAAATCACCATGTAGAGTCTCTCAAGTCTCCGTAGATATAACAAATACAGAAATAAATAACACAAAATAAATTGTGGCTATGTGTCGATTCCGCACGACATGTCCAAACATGTAAGCCAAATAATAGTGTGGGGGGGATTGAGTAATCGAGAGTTGCTTGGTGCTCAAACAAAAGACGAATCGACAAGATTTGAAAATCGCGTAACTCCGGGTTTGCGTAAGTCGGGATAGCGTAAGTCGAGGTATTACTGTATTTAAAATGACATATGTCTGGAAGAGGAGAATTGAACAGAGGTCTGGTAGCATAATTGGCAACACATCCACACGATAAGTATGAGTTGCATGTTAGAGTCATGCTCGGGACCTATTCTTTTCTTCCAGAATATTCTAAATTATTTAATGAAAATATTAATTATAATTATCTAATTTAATAAGAGATGGAGTCTAATGCCTACCTCTAGTACTAACTTACTCAGATTTAATTAATAGTAGTGATAAAGTAGCATGATTCAATACGACAATCGTTTGGTTTGGCTTATAAACATTGGACTTTGAGATGTTTGTGTATATATGTGTGAGATGTGTGTGTGTATGTATAGTATACCTATAACACAATTTATCAGTGTGAAAGATGTTTCTATATGTAAAACATTTTCCAAAGAATACAATGTGTCAAGAGAGTTTAATGCATTTGCAATGTTATCAACTGAAAAAAAAAATTAAAATTTGTGATTAAAAAAAAAATTAAGTTTAATCAATTCTTGACTGAGAAAAAAGTGAAATATTTTTGCACTTAATAGAGGAGAATGAATTATAATTATAAATAAAATTATTTTATATGTGTTCCTGAATACATAAAATAAAGTCAAGTCCTAAGTATGAGGATATCTTTCATTTTTTGAATGATATGTAATGGAGTCCATGTGATTTTGGAAGTAAGAATAATTTTCTTTAGTAAGTTAAGTTTTACTCCATTATCATCTCATAATTCTGAACGTGCACACCTATAAAATAATGCACAATATGCCAATGCAGAATAGAATAAATAACAAATAATTTGATAACTTACGAATACATTCCAGAAAATAATGACAATCTCCAAGCCCATTTAAATGCATTCTTCATCATGATTAATGTAATGTTATCTTGAAAATGCCTCTACAAAAATATAAAATAGTTTCAGAAATAATTATTAAATATTTTGAGTTCAGGATTATACTAAAACTAACTTTTCAAACCATAATTTGCAAGCTATTCAGAAATTCTTTACATGGAAAGATTGAACATAAACAAATAGACAAAATGAAAAGACAGTAACTCCATATTTCAAATTAAACTTTAGACTAAAAGCTGGAATTTTTGTTAAATTATACAAACACTTTTTATGCATTTCCAGCACTCATTCAATACTTAAAACAAATGTTTTTGGCTTGATTTACAGGTTTTCCTTAAATTAGAATCTGTCCAAATACGGAGGAGTTATGTTGCATTCCAAAATGGAATAATTCAAAGATTTCTTGACATTATTTAAATTTCTTACGTTCTATTTCGATATTTATAAACTTAAAAATAAAATAAAATTACTTTTTGATAATAACTAATAATAGTGAATGGTTAATAAAAAATTATTATTAGAAGCAATTATTCATTGTGACATTGTCACAATGCCAGACTGCAATTTTTAATCATATTTTTAATTAATTTAATTTATTTTAAATTAAATTAATTAAAAATATGATTAAAAATTGAAGGCTGGTAATCCACCTCAAATTAGTAGTGGCTTGCCCCTTTACATCATTTTTCCTTTAGCAATAGAGTTGTGTCGCTCATCCATATAACACCTCTCGAGAAAATTTTTTAATCAAAATAATGTGACTTCCAATTTGCGTCAGAAGTTCATATATAGTTAATTGGGCCTCCTGCACCAAAGGTTTCTATATCTGGTCTTGTTTTTCATCTAGCTAACTCTGTCATTGAGATTAAGGAAAGATAGATGGATGGATGGACAACAGTGAAAATTTATAGGTCTATAATTTTTTTCAAATAGAGGCCAAATAAGTTTAGAGAATAATGCTTGTCATGCTTGGGATACATTAATGCTTTCTCTGTTGTTAATGCAAAGCCCTTGGCTTGCTACTTTATAGCTGTTGACAGCTCCAATTATACAGTATCCCCCTATAACATGGTAGATATGTTCCGTTTTATACGAATTCCGTGTTTTACAAGTCACTTAAATACATGAGCCAATCACAGCCCAGCACATGTGCAGTTTATGGACTACGGCTGTTTGAAAGGTTTTCTTCCATAAAGTTAATCAATTCTAGACTAATTTGACTCAACATTTCCAAAACATAAATGATTTTTTGGGAATAATCCATATAAACTATGCTATAAACAAAAAATTGTAAGATTACTTACTGAGTGTGCATCGTTTGACGACACAATTGCTTAAGCTTGTTTTCATCGTGGAGCAGCGCACCAAACAGCAGGCGCTTTTTCTGATAAGTTATTTTTCTACAAAAAATTTGCTGAACTTTGGAGACATCATTAATAAAAATATAATTTTTATGGCCGTTGAATAATAAATGTTTTTTATTAGGTCCAGTGCTCATTTAAACTCAACAGTTTGTGCAATATCCACTATTGGTCTAGATTTGACCAATCCTGTTGCAACACGAGTCGGCGACGACGTTTTACCGTATTATACAAGTCTCTTTTAGCGTGTTTATACGAATACAATCGCAATTTTTTTGCCATGTTATACAAATCCATATTATATGAACCCGTGTTATAGGGGGTCTACTGTACTTAATTAATAATAATAATAGTTTTATTTGACATATAATTCAATACAATATCAAAGGGGGGAAAAACAAAACAATAAATTCGCTTAACTCAAACCATCTAATTTCTTTAACATCTTGTTAAATTTTAACAAATCCACGAAATCTGAGTTAAAACCACCACGCAACATTCTTAAGTATTCCCCGTACATATCATTTCCACAATTGCTAAACATATGGAAGCACCAATCATTGTAACTACAGACCTGGTTACAAATTTTACACACCAAAGAAGCACTTCTTGACATATAACAGTTTAACCGCAGTTTCGCAATCTGTTTTTTCATCGCAATCGAGATTCCAGCATCCCTTAAATACCCTGCCATGCCAAAATCAGGTTTAACCGGGCGATAATATCGTAGCAACCCAGAACTATTCAGCACATTCTTCATTTTTTGTAGTTCTAGTTCTATGCATCTCATAACTATAAACGGTATTCGTTCTTTCCATCTATCAATTTGTTTNCCGAATTAACTTCGATACTGTATCAAAAGGATTTTCCCTATCACTCAACTCCACATTAAACAGTACCAAATTTCTTTTCCTTAGATTGCTTTCAAGTGTGTTAACTCTTTTGGTTAGAGTAGTGACAACTTGCATATTATTACGATCATCTCAGCAGTCGTACACGGATTCTAATTTATTGATTCTCTCTGACAATATATTAATCTTATCGTTCATTTGCACAAAACTGTCTTTTACTAATTCTGTCTCTATTTTTAATTCTATAGCATCCTTCATTTCACTGAACATACCTCTTATCTCTTCTAAGAATAATTCTTGATCCAAATTCTTTCTAGAGTCTCTCACTTTAACAGCACTTCCCGTGGAACAGGACCGCAAACGTTTACCTGGTGGTGTTCTTAATATCTTTGCGCTCTTCTCGAAAGCTGCTTCCTTTTCTTTGGCACTATCTCGATCCACACACTCTTTAATTTTAACAAATTTATCCATAATAAAAGCAATCACAAAAGCTTAGCCGCAACAGGTACAACTTCACTTCAAAACACGCCAACAGCCTCAGCGACTCTAGCGCCCCCCTACTTAATTTTTATATATCAAATATTTTTCTTAACAATTTGGCATCTTACCAACATGGGAACACTCCAAGCTTGCTTGTATATTGGGCTAAGGCAGTGTTATAATCACCTTTAAGTATGTCATATTTATGCTCTTTTAATCTGGCCTCTATTAATCTGTTAGAAAGCTTTAATTATACAGTTTGGTAGGTTAACGTGATCACATTAACCTACCAAATGGTATAATTAAAGCTTGCCAATATGGACATATGTTAGCACTAAGCTTCACCAAGGTATGGGCAGAAACATCATCCCTAATGTGGATAAAATCCCAGTCCAAGATGCTTATAATGACACACAAAGAGTTCCGCAGATGGCAGACTCTCTGCAAAGTGCAAAAAATAGAGTGATGCAGAAGACAGAAATACATGGGTTCACATCCAGGAAAGCAAGAAATGGCTAAAACATAATGAAGTAATGTTAATTAAAGCTGACAAGTGAAGAGAGAGTTATTAAAAAAATCCACATATATATCATTACTAGAAATTTACATCTCCAAAACTGAATGCTAACCTATTGGTACAGACTATGTAGATAAACTACAAACTATTGTCAGTAGATTCACCACCCAGGTCGATTTAGGCATTCTGAGGCACTAAGCTGAACTCTGTGTGAGGCCCCTTACCAACCCTTTACAATTTTAGAAGTCGATCATACAAAAAAGATAATTAACATAAACATATTAATTTTAATCGTAAATGTTTTATTGTTAAAAAGTATTTGCAACATATTATAAAATAAGGAATAATTTAAAAAGTAAAACACTAAAAATTTCATTTTTGTCACTTTTTGATGGGACAGAAAATAAATTTAAATGAAAAATAAATTTAAGGATATAAAAATAATTTTTACATAATTACAAGTAGTATAGAATTAAACAAATGAAATATAATGTAATCCGTGAATATTTACAAGTTATCAAAAAAAGCTACCCGTAAAAGTCAAATGAATTTTATATTAAAAAGAAGAAATCACTAGAAATGTAATATAAACAATACTGGTTATTAATATAATTAAATACTACACCAAATAAAAAGTAAAGTATATTTCATTGGTTTGTAAAAAAAAAAAAAATTATTACAAAATTTGACTTCAATTTTCTTTTTTGTAGAAATTATTGAGCTCCCTTGAAACTCAAGGCCCTAAGCTACAGCTTACATAGCTTACATGTAAATCCAGCCCTGGACCTAGCTTTTCTTGTAATTCATTACATAAATGTAATAGTAATGGTTTCGGAAGACAACAAAGTTCTTTAAAGCATGTATTATTCATTTGAAAAGCATTATCTCAAAGACAAAAAAACCAAGATTGACAATGTACAATGCTAATTTTCTCTCTCCAGTTGTTCATGAAGTAATATTATAACACCTAATAACACCTAAAGTCGTCATGTACTTTTTACTTTTGTTATGTTCCTAACGACAGCTCTAGAGTGATCGAAAAGAAAAGCTCAGTTATCGCATCTGGCTATCAGAACTGAAAACAAAACATATGGTTCAGAACAGCATACTCACAGTTGATTAAATGCCAATCACATAGTTCCAACAGAAACTGGTTATCATAATCTTCATTAGCTTAACAATACAACTCAGAATAGGTCCCCCATAAGCTGCAATATTTTCTGGAACACAAACTGTCAACCCATAACAATTCTTGAAATCTTGCGACCACCATTCACCAGCAGTTTAATGTTCTCAATTGAAGGAATGTTTGTTATAGGATATTTCTGCAAATTTTCATGCAAGGCATTAAATTTGGATTACAGTGAGTCTGAATCCTAGCTCTTGCAGGTCAATTATATACTTGAAAATTCTTTGTTTCAATTTGCTGATCAGTGCAAATAGATTCCTTATTTTGGAAAATAATGAGTAATGTCATCTACATTATTTTAACTATGTGGCCCATCTACACTTCTGCAAAGTCTGTGACTTGGTGTCTCTATGATCAGCTAGAAAACTTGCACAGCATTGCCTCAGGCTTCACACGAACAACAAAAACTATACACCAACCAATGCCAAATATTATTGGGCTAGAAACAGCTATAATATTAATAATTTATAAGATAATTTGGCACTAGAGTTAGGTGTTAGGTGCCATATCTTGTTAAATTTAATAATTTACAATAATTTGAGCTCCAGGCCAATTCTTTTCTTCCAGAATATTCTAAATTATTTAATGAAAATATTAATTATAATTATCTAATTTAATAAGAGATGGAGTCTAATGCCTACCTCTAGTACTAACTTACTCAGATTTAATTAATAGTAGTGATAAAGTAGCATGATTCAATACGACAATCGTTNATAATTTGGCACTAGAGTTAGGTGTTAGGTGCCATATCTTGTTAAATTTAATAATTTACAATAATTTGAGCTCCAGGCCAATTCTTTTCTTCCAGTAGTTCTAAATTATTTAATTAAAATTATAATTATTAAATTTATCAAGAGATGGCATTTAACACCTAACTCTAGTGCCAAATTGTCTTATAAATTATTAATATTATAGCTGTTTCAAGCCTGATAATATTCAGCATTGGTTGGTGTATAGTTTTAAAATATATCAGGTTTAGCAACAAAGGCAAAACTGGATAAGAAATTCCAGTGGCTCCTTTGGTTTACACATAAACGACACCATGATGTGTTGCCAGTTCCCTTCTACAACTACACAGGGGAGCCTATCTCTTCCAACATTTGCCAGATGTTACAGCACAGTGCGTAAGTTCATCCCCCCTCACAGCTCAGGTGTCTTGGAGATAATTCCATTCCAGTGTCCCTGGCAGTGCTCAGGAACTGTCAAGCAGGGACCAAGCACCCACAAATGGAACTCTCAGTTATCTCAACACTTGTCACTGTGAAGAAACCTTCCATCAGTGCCAGAAGACAACAGGATCAATGATCTCTACGACACCCTTGCCTGTCATTTCTGACAGGTATTGAAAAAGAGAGAGAAACAGACCACCTTGGACATGCTTTTCAAGAAGCCAGCTGCCAACAACAGCTGGATGGAACAAGAGGAGTTGACCCTGAAAGCTCTGGTAGCCTCTCCTGAATCTGACTCCGATTAAAAAACAATAAAAAGAAACCTGCTGCAATGTGTAAAAAGTCTGTATCTGTGTGAAGAAAGTGTTCCTCCATCTCCTTCTCACAACATCTGACTATCCGGCATAATTGGTGACTGCTCCATTTTTATTTTTTTATGGTACAGTACGGTTATTTTATGCTGCAGAACAAATTATATGTTTTAACATGTATTTCTATGGGAAAATGCATTTCGTATAATGGACTTTTCACTTAATGGATGTGCACCTGGAATGGATTAAGTATGTTATACGAGGCACCACTGTATATGCATTTCAAGTTATGTGTAGTAATAAGATTTTTTATAATAATTTTGTAACACTTTAGATAATTACTAAATTTGTTTGTTTACTTATTTAATACACACAAAAACTTTGCAATAGAAAGACCATTGACTATGTCATTTGCCAGTTTCCTCTTACATAACAAAAAAAATTGCAAAGTCAAAATGTAAAGCAAGTACATAACTCAGGACAAAAGTCTGTTTGTAAATCCTTAGTAAATTTTTTCATATTTACTAATATTTACAAATTTAAATATTTACACATTTAAATTCATAGTTCTTTTAAATGCATATCAATATTGAAAGGAAAGCATAAAAATTAACGAAAATTGGTCAATTTGTGTTATTCTATAAAGCATATTAGATTTTTGTAAAACATTTCAGAATTTTCCATTCTTTAATTATTGATTTAAAATCTGATTGAGAAAGACTTTGCCCTCATTACTTTAGCTCTAAAAATACAGAATTCTCAGTATTTATTTGAATATAATTGTTGTAATTTTATAAATTTTAAAATTATTAACCAACAATTTACATTTAAAAATTTTTAAATAAACTTCTTACTTTTGCTTCGAATTGATGAACGTACACATTTGACCGATACTTCCTCAACACAGTCTCTATGGCATCACGAGATGATATGGTGGCACCAATAAAGGATCCAAGAAACAAACTTACACCTATGGTTTTATTGATAAACTGTACTTCTGGACTTATGTTTCCAAAATCTCTATAAAAAAAAGAATACACAGATAAGATAAAATTCAATCATCATAATCATGGGCGTAGCGAGGGGAGCCTGGGTGGGCACAGCCCCCTCCAGTGAACCTGGTGCCCCCCACCAGAAAATCACAGCTGAAAAAGTGTCGAGCCAATTTGAAAAAAGAAAGAAAACCTTTACGCTAAAAACTTTGAATACTAAAAAAAACCAACGGCTACCCCTGTTCCCAATGTTATGATTAAAGGAAGTCACATATTTCATGTGTGTTAAGTTATTGTCGATTGTCATGGAATCTTCATTTTAATAAACAATAATTTGAAACAATTCAATTTTGTGTCAGCTTGGCCTCTACTAGGCCCCCCATAACAAAACTCTGGCTACGTCCATGATCATAATATTAAATATTGAAAAAGTAACTAGATTAATGTGTAAGTTATAAAATAAGTTTTATATCTTGTTGGAAGCATAATGTTAGTGTCATGTTTGGACCTGTTTTAAATAGTCGTTTTGCTCATTGTTTTGAGTGCTTTTATTGAATATTAAGATGGATAGTAATCACCAACATATGTATTTTAATACTTATATTTTATTAATAACAGTCAATGGTGAGATTTTGTATAAAATAATCACAAACTGAAAGGGAATTTTACACTTTATTTTAAATAAGTAGACCTTTAAAACTTTGGCATCTTTTTTCTGTCTTTCTATATTTTAATTTCATTTTGTCTGGATCTTTGACAGTTTCATAATTATGTCTAACAGATATTTCTTTGCGGAAATGTGTGGATTTTGATATAAAACCATTTTTTGTTTCATGGGCAATTGGTAGTTATCAGGAGGGAACTTTTTGAAAAACTAACAGAAAAAGATAAAATAATAAGCAGGTCATCCAAATTACAAAATATTATTGTAGACTACATTAAAGAAAAGTTTAATTTAACAAATCCAATCAAGTTATGGAAAATGAATTACATTGAATCATTTCTTTTTTATCCATTGATCTAAGTCTTAGATGGAAGAGACAATCAAAATAGCAAACATTTTTCAACAATAAGTCATTTATGGCTCAATGATCAGATAATTATCTAAAATGTTGATTTGTCACAAATTAGTGAATGTCGTGCAACCCCACAAAAACAAATAATGAGACATCCCAAAAGGGATTTTTGAAAAACCGGACTGAGATAAAAAATGAGAAAAATTTGGGAAATTGTCAATGATCAAAACTCAAACAAAATTACTTATGCTGCTGAGGTAAAATTAAGATTATCTGGAAAAAGAGAGACAGCTAACTAAGTAAAAAGTATCATGCAATCTACAAAACCAGAGACGAGATTGAAAAAAGCATATAATTGGCCTTATTGCTGAGAACATCTATTTATTACACAAAACTAACGTTTTCGGCCCAATTTATGGGCATCTTCAGGTTACTGTTATTCGACTCTAATACAAAATCGAACACGTTCAAAATTAAACCAAATTAGAACATACGTTTAAATTAAACTAATAGAATAAGCATAACCAAAATAAAACAATAAATAATAAAAACCAAAATAACACAAAAAATGAAAATAAAATACAGTGATTGTCCGTAAACACTAAGGAACAATTCCTTATACATTAACCCAGATATCTATTGAGTCACGGCAGACGCATTATTACGCGTGTTACTTCTTACTATGTATTTCCAGGATGACAGTAACAATATCACATCCTTATAATTTAAACATCTGTCAGCCAAACTCGCTCTGTAAATTTCGCATTTCTCAGTTATGGATGACAACGTTGGCGAGCGTACTTTTGTAAGAATTTTGGCATCCTCCCATTTAACAA